GCCTTGGAGGTGGACATCACCTGTACAGCCACAAACTGTTCATTTCTGAATAAAAGTGAATAAAAACACGAGGAACAGAAAACAGCCGAGTATTGAAAAATGATTGAGAACCTACTCTGTTTAAAAACAACAGTTCATTTTGACAGCCTTTTTGTCTCCTGAAGTCAGTGTTTACACTGTTAATATTAGACAGGAAATCCTGTTCAATGCTACTGTTAATGTCAACTTTTTTTTTTCCTCTCCCCCTATAATATAGGAAGGTTTTCTCCTTGGAGAGGTGAAAGGTGAAGCCAAGAACAGCATTACAGACTCACAAATGGATGATGTTGAAGTAGTTTATACAATCGGTTAGTCTGTTCACATTTTTGATACCATGCTTGGTTTCAGGCCATACACAACTGCTTACAGTTTTCAACAAGGGCAGTCAACACCATACTGCAAGATCAAAGCTGCTAGATCCTGGGACATTTGGGACCTTATTTAGATAGATGTTAATTCATTTGATTTTACAAAATTATATAGAATTCTTTCTTGGTTCTTCTACCAGTTTAATTCTGATCGTAGTGTACAGAAGAATGTGCATCTTGAACTGATGAACCCAGAGTAATATTACCTTCTCTTTCCAGATATACAGAAGCATATTCCATGCTACCAGTTGTTCAGGTAAGAATCTTAAGCAAGCAGATAGGAAAAAGTTAAAATTAACCCCAGCTGAACTCTGCAAGAGTTAAACTTGTATTGCATTACTTGAGATCACCTGGCTATCACTGCAGATGCCTGTCCTGGTTTACTGGGACATAATTTTAGAGTCAGTTTTCTGTTGGGGAAAACTGATTTTTTAAGGACTGCAACGCTGTTTCATGGGATCAAAGTGAGGTTTTCAGCTAATTCTGGTATGCAGGTTACCATAGTGATCAAGGTCTTTGACAGTCTTGAGTTAACCAGGTGCAGAAGGTTAGGAGGAACAAAAACACAGGGTAGATGACCCAAGCTGGCCAATAGATTTATTCAATACGATAAACATCATAATGAGTATAAATTGGGGAGTTTGCTGGGGACAGCTCTCCCCTCTCTTCTTTTTCCCTTTTGCTTGGCTGACATCTCAAGAGGGACTTGTCTAACTGTCCTACCCGTGAGGCCTACTCCCCCACAATTTTGGCTGAGTATAACTGTATTTTATAACTGTTAACAAGATTAGTTTTTATTATTATGTTATTAAATCTGTTTCTGTTTCAACCCACAAATCTCATTTGTTTTTCCCAGCCCCCGCTACCCAGGTGGGGAGGAGGCATCAGGTGATAGAGCAACTGTTAACAAACCATGACAATGGTTTATACCATTACAGATGCAAAATGCCTTGTTATTCCTGGTTTGGTTCTGTGTGTCTTTCTTGGTGTTTGTCTATGCATCTAGAAATTGAGATACAGCATACTGCACCTTCTAGTGAGCTGCAGTACCATATAAACTACAGAATAATGTCAACATACTGGAACAAAAAAAAAGTAGCATCAGCCATAGGCTTCTAAGTGGGTCAAAAAAATAAACAGCCCAACAGCAGGAGTAGTTCCAAGGACTGGTATTTAATGTTCCATCATCGATGGGAACACAGTTTTGCAGGTTTACACCCTTCTGAGGGGAAAATCACAACACAATTTCCCTCTCAAATCTTTCTGAACATTAATAAACCCAGATGTTGCTAGAAAGGCATCTCGTACCAGATGGAAGCCATCTTACTTTTTTGTAGTTGACATCAACACTGGTGCTACCCTTGTGCCCCAGTAGCACTGATGCCAGAACAGCATGTGGACTGTACAAGACCACCTCTGTAGCTCTTTGAGTAATGAAATTAACTAGCACAGAAGCAAATCTTTAATAGCTTTTTCCCCCCTGGTAAGCATAAAGTGAGATGATTGCCAAGCCACTGGGGAATAATTATTTCTACAGTAGCATTTATTTTTTCTCTAACTGTCGTAATTTTCTTCTAGCTTTTATAATTCTGCAGGAGAACTGAATGAACTTGCCCTGAAGAAAATACTATCAGGCTGTAAGAAGGTATTTTATTTTCAAACCTAAACCGTACTAAGGGGCTCACTCAGATTTTGGGGGGTTGTTCTGGATACCTGTTGTATGAAGGTGTTTGATGGTTGGTTTTTTTTCCCTTCTTTTTTAAAATATTCTATCTAGTCCCTCACATTGCTGGTCGAGACAGCTTTTCCCCCCTGAAAGAACAGTACCCATTTAGGTTACCTTTGACTAGTATTTGCCTGTATCTATGTCACTTTATTTTTTCTTACTCATTTCTCTAGTGAAAAGTTCAAATATCCCAAAGAAATTCTACTGATTTCTAGCTTAAGATCAGTTGAGGTCAGCTCACTCAAGTGGTTAAGCACCACCTGACCAGAAGAATTTACAGGCTGCTCCACAGAAAGGTTTCACCAGGGGAAAACAGAAGCCGAAAAGAGACAAACAGCAAAACAGCAAGCCAGGTCTCCAGAGTTTCAGCTTGAGCACAAGCCCAGAAAATAGGCCAGTTCAGCAGCTGGTTTTGAAAAGAGAAAAGCTGTCAGAATTAGGCTTGGATGTTTTAAGGTTTTCAGGTTAACTAACTGCTTGAATATGTGTATCACTGAACAATTCAGATTAATGACTTTGTACCGAATCCTCTACCTTGATAACACAGGGACAGCGTGATTCAACAGTAACAACAAAATTTCTTCTGCCTGCAGAGTGTAATAGGATGGTACAAATTCAGACGTAACACAGACCAGACCATGACATTCCGGGAAAGACTTCTTCATAAGAATTTACAGTCACACCTATCAAATCAGGGCCTTGTATTCCTTTTATTAACCTCTAGCGTGATGACAGAGAGTTGTTCTACGTACAGACTGGAACATGCTTTACATCGGCCACAGGAAGGGTAATTAGTTTGTTCTCTTAGTTTTAACAGAGCAGTTGCATAGCATGTGCTGTAACTTGGAACATTTCTTTTTTCCTTTGTTGCAACTGAATTATTGTTAATATTGTTTATTTTACTCTTGAAACTTAAACATTAAATGAGATTATTCCTTATATTGATAGAGCCCAGTTGGAATCTTACCTTGGAGTTCTGTTCAGGGGTTTGCCGTTATAACTGTCTGTAGTGCCAGTGTCAATAGGCAGACACTGTCAGTTAATTTATGCACGTAAGCTGTTCTTGATCAATTTGGTTGTGTACAGGACTTAACTGTGCATGGTGTTCATCTTCACATATCATTAAAATATTTAAAATTGGTGGTAGCTTTCAGTTATCCTCAGAGACAGGCTGCTTATGAGCTATGCTTAACAAACAAGTATGGCATTGTGTGACTCATGTACCCAGAAACGGGAAAACACAGGCACTGCTCAGTCTTGCTGTGCTTGCAGTTTGCCTTTAGCCATAAGTAATCATCGGTGTATGACGCAATACATTTAACAAGAACTAAATATACTGTAAACTGGGGTGCTGAATGGTCAAGAACCTTTAACTACCAAAGGCAGGTCATTGGATGTCAATAAATCATGTGTTCATACTTCTGCTTTGTAAGTCTTTTCCAGAAAGTTCCTTTGGTGGTTACCAACTTGGGTATGGCAGAACAGCAAGGTTACAGAACGGTGTCTGGTTCCTGTGTATCTTCTGGTTTTGTGAAAGCAGTAAGACAACACAGGTACAATATATGCTGCATTTACTGATAACTGTAGCTTTCAGTTAAGTATAGTTACCTTTGTATAAAAGTATTAAGTGCTTTCACAATGCTACAGCCGTACCCTGCTCGCTTGTTGACCCATTCCCTGCAATTATTTACCTTTCCAAGGTACTTGGAAATTAGTTCAGTCCCATACTTTGCCATGAAAGCAGCTGTTTATCTCCACATAGGCACCTAGCATTGAAGCTCCAAATGCTTCCTCCTTCATTGTAACTGGGATCATTAACTTGCAATTACACAATTAGATTCTTTGTCCACAGGTCAGAATTCTTCTATGAAGATGGATCCTTACAAGAGGTTCATAAGATAAATGAGATGTATGCCACCTTGCAAGGGGAACTGAAGGTAAGTCAGGCATACCTGCTGAAACAGTTACTTTCAGCAGTACTACAAAACCAAGTCAGGCGAAGGGTGTACCATCTTGCACTAAATAAGAAACAAAGCTGTCTTGGAAGAGCATACTGAAACATCAGGAAGTTCCAATTACTGTTAGCAGCTGTACACAAAGTTCTCCAACTTGAAGAGTTAAGTTTCCGTTTGATCAAAAGTACACTGAAATCCTCACAAGAAGATTTTAAATAAGTATTATCCATAGTATGTGGGTTTGAGCTCCTTTGCTTAGATTGGAACAAATAAAACTTCTTGCACTTCATTCAATACAAGGTTGAAGTTACATATAAAAACAACCTCAAGCTTATTACTTAAGCTTTTTAAAACTTTGTGTCCAACGTTTAAAATCATGAGTACCTTTAAGGATTTTGCAACAAAAGTTAAAATCGGCTTCTGTGAATACTGTTAATTTCATCAGATGCTCTTTTCCTTGCAGAAAATATGCTCTACAGTAGAAGTCAGTGAGCGATCTGTAGAGAAACTCTTGGCAGAAGTGAGCCAATTAAAAAGAGAAATAAGGAGAAAAAAGCAACAACATTGTTCAGGTAAGTTAAACGAAATGCCAGTCTTAGTAAAGACTTGCAAAGTTGATTCAATTGGCAGAAGCACAGAACACTTCTGAACCAGAGGCAACCAAAACAGCAGCAGCAGAAGTGTGCAAGAGGGACTGCAACTTCAACAGTTAATTTTTTTTTTTCAGGAGCAGACAGAGACTACCCAGGAGAGCTAAAGGAGAATGTTTTCCTTTGTCAGGCACTGCAAACATTTTTCCCCAATTCTGGACTTCAGACATGTATTGTTTCCTTCAAAGGCCACCAGATATCCAAGAACTGCTGTAACATTGACCATAATATTAATGTCATGGACAAACTGACTCTTATGGTAGAGGAAAGAGACTTCACTGAAGCTGAAACAAGACACTTAACCAAGCGTAAAGTCAGAGGGACTACAACAGGATCAAAGTCATTCAAGAAATCCAGATCACTGCACCGTCACCAAAAATTACTTCGAGATCAGGAGGACAGTGACCAGGAAAGGAAGCTTACACTGAGTAGCACTGAAACAGATGAGGATGTGTTTGAAAAAAACAGAGATGCAGATGAATACCCACACTCCCCTACCTTCTGATCTGTTAATGGTTTGTCCAGATGACTTTGCACCAAAAGCTACTGCCAACATATCCAAGTTACATATCAATTTATAGCATTGCAGGGATGAAAAATAACAGGCATTTTTGCAAAACATACAGTTTTCCCAATACATGAATCCTGTTTGATATAGGCACAAGTCCAGATGACATTCCCTCCTTTTGCCTTCCAGAGTTAAACCTGTATTCTCTCTCAGGGTTTAAAGACTACGCTAGTGGGATGTTCATGGTCATATAACAGTGTCACATACTGCCTCAGAGTAATACAACTTCAAGCTCCTGTTGAAGCAGTACTAACCTTCCCTCAGCAGAAGCTGAGGCAGGGAGCATTAAATTGTTACAGTTTAAGGGTTAACAGCCTGAAAGGGAAGGACAGGTGGTGTCTATAGGACCCTGGAGGGTCAGAGATCAGTACTGTTCCCTCCCCTTTCTGGCCACAGTCTATAAAAAAACCCGAGGAGGTCTGAGGTTTTCATGGGCTTTTCCTGGCTTTCCTGGGCTGCTTCCTGTGGCATCTCGGGATGGCTGGGCCTAGCTCCACGTGCTCGGCAGCATCCACCACCACCCGCTCCCGGCACCACTGCAGTCCCCGGTGACAAGTCACAGCGGCCACGAGGCACTGCTCGGACACTTCCACTCAGGACTGCTGGGATCGGGTTTTGTATAGAGTTAAATATCCTTTGTCCCTTATTAATTCCCTTGTCCTTTCCCCTGTTGTTTTTTCATTGAACTTGTTACAGTCTTAACTTCCAACCTTATGCGAAGCATCTTTTTCTCTATTCCCTCTTTTTTTTTTAATCCTCCCCCTGGGAGGGTAGGGGAAAATAGAGAGAAAATCCTGCTCCCTGGGCTTGCCCTGAGCCTTAAACGGAGACATAAATGAACACAGGTAACATGCTTTACAGAAATAGCTATCTACATAATTGCCACAATTTAAATCATTTATCCTTAGCTATCCGGTTCTTGTTTATTTTTTCCCTTCCAATTCAGCAAGGGAAAGAAGTGCCACCTGAACTCTAGCAAGGCCTGTGAGCAGAGGGAGTGGTCCTTACAGTTGCCAGTTTCTATTATTGCTCTCATAATTTATACTTCAGAAAATGTTAGAGATTTGACACTTCATAAAAAAGCAAACACCACCCACCCTTCAGTGATACATTAAATTAGCCAGCCACATTTCCAGTAAACAAGTACATAAACATGAAAAACAGTTTTATTGTTTACTTCTTGTGGTATATTACTCTGGATACTTGATATTACATATCTTGGGGTCTGTGAGAAATGCTGGGTTCTTATACATAACTGGCATAAAACCTGTAAAAAGATAAGATAGAGTTTAAATAAAAAGTAAGTTTTACTTTAAAAACTCAGAAGTATAATGATACTTGCCATATATATGAGCTCTTTTAATGGCTTTTGTAATTTCCCTCTGCTTCTTGTTGCACAAACCTAAAGAGAGAAGCCATTGTCAGTCTCTTAAATGAACAAAAACCAAACCATTCATTTAAAGGGTGAAAGTGATATTACTGACAATTCCTCCTAGCTTTGTCTGAGCCTTTCTAGAAAAATGCATGTGTGCTTACACTGTTAAATACAAAAAAGCATACAATTAGGGGATATTTTCATTCCTTGATGAAGGCTACTGTGTCAGAAGAATACTGTTACAACATGTATACAGTTGGTAGTAGTTCTGTTTACAAAGATAACTGATACACAGTTACTTGGACTCACAAGAACATTAATATTAACCAGTAAAGTATTTAATACTTCACATACCTGTTATATGCCTGCCATAAATGCAGCCAGTATGGGGAGAAACAAACTGGGACAGAAGCTATTTAAAATTAAGAAACTGAAAGTCAGTGTAAGAGTTTTTTTAGACAGCTTCAGTTTATTTTACTACTTGCATTCTATTTTTCATTTTAATTTTTTGGGTTGTTTTTTGGTTTTGTTTTTTTTACAAAACTCAGTTCTCCTTGGAGACAAGAAAAAGCACACCTTACAGTTTGGCAGTATTTTACATGCAGTGACATTTAAGCTATGACAGTAGAATTGAAGATTTGATTTGGTAAATAACAAAGTTGTAACACGGCACATAGTACTAGTAGATTGAACAGCTTGCTACAACTGCATTATTTGACCCTCAACTGCACACAGATTGGTACGCTTAAGCTTTACACCCCTATATATTTGAATTTTATTTTTTTTCATCCTTGAGGGCTTCCTGCCCTTAAATACAATAAACAGTTACCTTCAACTAGGGACAGGAATTGTCAACAAACTCACCTGCACATTCTTATAATCCACATTTATTCCACATAAGACACATTTTTTAGGAGGTTCCTTATAAGGGTTCTCCATTTGTATGGGCTGAAATTAGAGAATTATTAACATCTGTAAGCTTCACAAGAAAATAAGCAATGTTTGTTACTTTTATGCTTTGGGCAAAACATGCCTTGAAACAAAAAGAGGTATTTAGTGCATCATTGAAGTGTTTCAGGAACTTTGTTTTCTCTGTTTCTCTTAACACACTGACTGATTGGTACCTGGTCATCTAGAAGACTTCTCACAGGTGCACAGCCTTTTATATATTAATAATGGCAATATAACAAATCAGTGCAAGTAATCAGTAAGACAGCACTTACTTAACTTAGAAGGCAGTATCTACAGAAGCTGGGAGTAAGGTAGTTCTGTCTGACAAGTTACAAGATACTTTTTTGGAAACATTTTCAAAGCAAAAGGCCTGAGAGAGCTCCTGTCTGCTCACACACTTTTTAATGAAGAGATTCCCAAATATCAGTTGTGTCCTAAAAGGCTCCTTTAAACTTCAAAACACAACCAGCACCAAATCCCGGTAAGATGTGAGTAAAAGGAGAAATTTCATTTTTGCAGAAACAGGTAGAATTTCTGCTGACAAAAAGACTTCTAAAAGTTGTTGCTGATAATAATACCTTTTTAATGACACAACACCACTACCTAGTGCATCCTCTTAAGTCTCTCACGTGAAATGATGCACAGGAAATCAGTACCATCAAAGGTGCTCCTCTACATTTAAGTTATTCAGAGAGGTATTTTAAATAGCCACAGTTAAGATATTGGATTAGAGATCAGTGCGGCCTCAACTTCAACACCTGGCGACTTCCCTCAGCGCTGGGCTCTGTAACACACCGAGTAACTGAATTAAAGGGGCTTTAGGACACCGAGGTGGACAAAGGTCAAAACAAGGTGATTTCGGACATCTCTGCTGCCTGGCCAGAGCCCTTTCCGGTGAGGGTGACGGCTGTCCGAGGGCTGGCGGGAAACGCGGAGCTCGCCAGGGGCTGCGCTCAGGGGGGTCTCACCTGGTCGGACGGGCCGGCTTCCCACTCGTGCTGCAGACGGCGCGGTCTCACCCACAGCACCGCTGCAACGGCAAGAGCGACGGGGTTAGTGACGGCATGGCGGG